CCATTCATTGCCCAAGTTCACCTGTAAACTCTTGCTCCCTGGCTTCCTTGCCTGGCTTCCTCCTCCTGGGATCTCTTCCCACATGACTGCAGCTCCAGCACCTCCCTCCTAGGAAGCCAGGTTCCACCACCCTCCCTCCCTGGAAGGCTTTGCTTCACAGAGGACGCCTGAGTTGACAAAAGACAAGGCTCGCCTCCTCTGCAGACCCAGGGAGCTTTGGAGCTTCTTCTTTTATTAAAAGATTTATTTATTTATGCATAGGAGAGCTGGAGTGCAGGCCAGAGATGAGGTGGGTGAGAGGATTCACCAGAGACAGTGGGGAGCAGAACAGGCAGATGTCCGGAAACACACTGCTGAGGGGAGCAGCGGGCTGGGCAGGAGAGGTCTGCTGTGCCCTGTGGGTCAGCTCCCTGGCCAGGGATCAAACTTGGGCTGCAGTGGCTGGTGAGCTTCATAACCCCTTGAGCCACCAGGGAGGCCCTGGTGCTTCTTTTAATCCCTCTTCCTGTACTTCTCTACCTGACACTGCAGTACCTTTGAGTCTTCCTCCAACTCTCCCCAGGGCGTGCACCTGGGAGAATGTGCAGAGGAGTCACTCAGGAAAGGCTGAAGACTGGAGTGAAGGTTGATCTGACAGATTGTACAAAGGGCTCCCAGAAGAACAGCCTCCCTATGCAAGGAAGAACGAGTTAGGGGGCCAGCACTACCCCCCAGGGGTTGACTATGACTTGCCCCCAGACTGGAGGTGTTGGGGGGGTAAGGAGGCCAAAACCAAGGCAAAGATACCCATATTGTGGGGCTGTCCTGCTGATTTCTGAAGCTAGAAAGGGAACAGGTTAGTGCTAGACACCCACTGGTTCCTTCCTTTAAGACCAAAGGGAGGGGAAGGCGCCATCACTACTTAGGAACCCCAAGCATTGACTAGGTCCCCTGCTCAAACACTTCTCTCTGCCCTCCTCCCTGCCAGGGTCGACTTCCCACCCCATGCTGGCCTGCTGGGGTGCCAGCAGGGATCCACACCCAAGGTGCGGGAGCCCGAGGGCCTCCCTGCGTGGTTCTGTGTGCCCAAGTCTAAGGCCAGGGTACCTTGGAAGGCCGAGAAGTAACTGAATTTCAGAGAAAAGCTACAACCTTCCAGGGAAGGCTGCGCTGGGCGGGAGCCTGGATTTGCCCATTTGGCTCAGAGGCCCCCCAGAGAGAGAGAGAGATGAGCCCAGTGGAGAGCACTGGAGCCCCCACTTCTTCCCCAGCCAGATGCAGATGCCCCAGGGCGAAGTTTCCTCCCGCACCCCAAGGGAGGGGTGAGGTTGTTGTAGAGCAACCTGATACAAAACGGGGTGCCTGACTGTGGGTCCTCACCCGCGCGCTTAAAAGGACTTATCAATGCTCCACTGCAGGCACACGCGAAAGGTTCATAAAAGGTTATTCACAAGGGAAGGGCAAATGAGGAAATGTACAGCTCAGGGAGAAAAGTGGGAGACAAAGTTTTAAATGCGTCCTACCCGATCCGCCAACCTGGAATCCCAAATGGCGCTGAGAGCTGGCCGCCAGCCAGGAGCCGTGAAGCCAGGAGGCGAGCGACAGAGCGAGAGAGCCCCAGGCCCAGTGCCTGGTTTTTATCCCACCTGGCTGCCCAACTCCACCCTCAGGTCCCAGCCACCCTCCCTTTGGTGGTGATGGGATTTGTCTCCCCCCCCACCCCATGTCCTGATGGCTTTGGTCTGGAGTGGGGGTGGGGTCCACACAGCCTGCATGGGATTAGCTCAGGACAGCCTTTCTCCCTAACAAGGTGACCCCTTTTTCCGGGACAGCTGGCTTGGGGGTCCTCACCCCACACTCTCAGCACCGACCTCACAGCGGCCTCTGCCCAAGGGGTCACTCACCGAGCAAGAGGAACAAGCAGCCCACGCCCCCCCCCACCCCCCCCCCCCCCCCCCCCCCCGCGCGCCCGAGGCCGGCCATGACAGGCCCAGGCTGGGGTGCCCCGGCGGGAGCCCCACCTGCCTTAATGTCCGCGCGGCACGGCTCTGGCGCGATTTATGTGTTCATTTATTTATTTATTGCAAAGATTTACTAAATCAGGTATACAGGAAAAGGGGAGCCGCCCCGGCCAGTCAAGGGAGGTCACGGCCCGACGTGGCGAGCTCCCTGGCGGGGATCCAAGTGTGTCACGGAGACTGCGGCCAGCTGCCCCACCCAGCCCTGGCCCGGAGTCACCAGGCGCACTTCAAATACTTCCAACCCGCCGGGCAGAGCGGGCAGAGCGGAACCCCAGTCTCCATTCGCTGCCCGCCCCGCCCGCCACGACTCTCCCTCTCACGCACACGTCCCTCCCGCGGCCGCCCCGTGGCCTGAGGCCCTTCCGGCCACTCTTGGGGTGCGCACGTCCATCACTGCCCCGGCTGTTCCGCAGCCCCCCAGCACATTTCCTTAGTAATTGGATTATGCTGGAGTCAGAGCGGCAGCGGCGGGAGCTGGTGGGGGTGTGGGTTGGGGGGGGTGTGGGGGGTTGTCAGTCCCCAAAAGCCTAGCCCCACTCCCTTGGATCCAGCACTGACCTCCACCTCCAAGCACAGGGCTCTGGGACAGGAGGCCCCGCGCTCTCCTCTGTGCTTTCCCCAGCCAGACCCGCCCAGGCTCTCTCCTCCCCTGTCAGAACAAGAGGAGCCCGGACTGTTCAGACAACCGCTGGGGTGTGGGGGTGCCTGTTGCACCCCGCCCGCTTTTCCTTAATCCGGATCCCAGCCGCCCCTTGTGCCCAGAACTGGATTCCAGCCGCGGTGTCTCCTCCTCGCTCTCTCTGGCTCCTCTTTGGTTTCAACTGTGGCTTTTCCCTCAGGCTGAGGAGTTCACCCCCTCAGTGGCTCCCCGAATTTCTCTCTGCAGAGCAGCCACTGCCCTCTGGAACGCCCCATCTTATTGGTCACTGTTCCTCACTGGCTTGCCCCCCACACCTCCCCCTGCAGCCCCAGGGGCCCAGACCTAAGGACTCCACCCCAGGAAGGGGCCCTTTTCCTTCAGAGAAGCCCAGAGCTGTCCCAGCCCAGCTGAGGCAGGTGGAGACTCTTGCCCAGACCAGGACTCCCCGCCCCCCCCACATGCCACCAGGGGCAGCTGTAGAGCAGGTGGAAATGCCATTGACTGGGGCTCTCCTCCCCAGCACCCCCACCTGGGCCCCAGCCATCCCAGTCATGTGGCCTGTACTTTCAGAAATGATGAACCATTTCTTCAATGAACCTAAAATCTTACAAGGCATCTCTCATGGGCGAACTTTTGAAGCCAAAGTCCTGTACCTGGAAGCAGGAGACCTTAAGACACCCCCTACCATCTGTAGATATTGGGGGCACATGACAACTGCAGTGTTTACCCCAAGATGTGAGGAAATCGGGGTCCTCCACTGCCCAGGGCTGGCAGGACCTCGGGCAACCTGAGAAGGGAGGCTGGGGTCTGACACGTGATGGAACATCAAATGGGAGCCCATTCCGTGCCCTGCGTTAAGTGCGCGGCCTGGACTAGCGGGATGTGACCACTGTCCTGTGTCTACAGAGGAGGAAACTGAGGCTCAGGGCACGTGCCTGCCCGAGGACACGCACAGGGAGTGGCAGAGCTGAGAGGCCAACCCAAGTCAAGTTCAAGGCATCACACTTACCTTTCACCTGGGAGGACACACCTTTGGGACTAGAGGCAAGGGTCAACCCCCTAAAAGCAGGGCTGAGTGGGGAAAGCCCACTTCCCTGGGGTGGAAGTACCCCCAAGGTCATCGTGTCCGGACATCACATGAGGAAAGACTTATTAGTCTTCCTTGGTGGACGCGCCTCTGACCAAGCAGCAGTGCCAGCTCCTTCAGTATGAGAAATGCATTTATAAGAGCCCTGATGTGCCTGGCCTGGCAGACTCCATACATCACAGTGGCCCAGGGCCCGGACTGTTCATGCTCTGAGCACCTGCCACCTAAAGGGCTCACATATTTTTCATTCTGCAACTGGTGTTGAAAGACCAGATGTCATCTGCTTGTCCTTGCAGATGTCACGACTAGGTAAGAGAGGCGGCTTTTTCAGCTGCTCTCCTGGCACGAGGCTGCTGCTCTTCCTAGCACATCCCTCTGGTTCTGGGTCTTGCCAAAGCCCAGAAGACTCAGGGCCCAGCACGTAGTAGACAAAGCACTGCCTCTACTCTTGCCCAGCGTGGGAGAGGACGTTCATGTGTCTATGTAAACACCGGGCAGATCTGCCCTGGGGATGTAGAGGCACAAGCTTATTTCATCAAACTCTAGTCCCTAGTTCCCTTTTAAATATGATTCCTGGCAGAGAGCATGTTTGAGGAAAAACAGGCAAAAATAATGCATAAAACTGACATGGAACCATGCTGGGCACCCAAGGGAGAGACAGTGCATCTCAACTCTTGGCCAAGCCAGGAGCTGCCAGAAGTTGATAAGCAGGCGGCAAGTGGCGTGGGGTGCAGAGGCCACACATCTTGTGTCCGGGAAGGCTGAGGTTTTAAAAAGTAGAAAAAGGAAGCACTTCCCTGAGCCTCTCACTTTGTATCTAGTGCCTCTTCTGTAGTGGCCTGTGGATTTCAAAGAATTACAGATGGGCCCTGACCGATCACATATCACTGCTGTGCTTTAATCATCTGGTCATTCTTCTCAACTTGCAGATGGGATGAACTCCAAAACACCCCAGATTTCAGCTGTGCAGGAACCAGGGTCTGGGCTGCTGTGCATGGAACAGGCGCCAGGCCCTGCTCTTTCATCCATCCTGCAAGTGCTTGCTGAGCCTTCAGGGCCAGGGCAAGGCCACCCACTGCAGATCATGCTGTGGTCTTGCTGCAGAGGCCCTTGGTGGCCAAGAAGGTTGCCGTTGACATGATCCTGCACCCCTTCTCCACCAGCTTCTCTCTCCCTTCCTTCCCGCCTAGCCCACACCCCAGCCCCCAGAAAAAAAGGAAGTTAGAGCTGATAAGCACTTCCCTCTGCACCCGCTCATCAAAGCAGGCCTGACTCTTTATGACGCCCTCAGCAGCTGGCCGTGGTGTGGAGGAAGGAGTGTGTTGTGTCATGTGTACGAAGGCACCACTCAGGCTGGGGGAGGAAGGACAGTGGACGCCAGGGAATGCAAACAGCCATATTTTCAACATAATTTACTACAGGTCTCTGAAATGTATATAAAACATTTTAGTGCAACATCTTACAAAGAGTGTTCCTTAAAAAAAAGCAACAAAAGCAAACCAACAGCTCTCTACATCATGCACGGGTAGCTTTCTGACCCCACCTTTTTTCCCTTCAACCATCAATGCAGAGAAACCATTGTTTGAAAAGAATAGGAAAATCTGCTACAGAAACCCCCAGGGGAGAGAGGGTGCGGTCCTCTCCGTGTCCTGGAACGGGCCTCGCACGGTGTGGTTTTTCATCAATGCAGCCTCGGAGATGTGCCCAAGTCAAGCCAGTGGCTGCAGATTTCCTCTTCGCCCCAGACCATGATGCTCCAGCTGGCAACATGCAACGAGGCCCCGCGGCCACTGGAGGGCGCCATATCCTTTCCTCGGACACCACAGTTCCCAAGACATGGGCAAAGCAAGCAGGTCCTGGGGATTTTCATGGAAAGCTTGGAGAGGCTCACCTTTGGAAGGTCTCCCCCAGGTCAATAGAAAATACAGAGGAAAAAAAACAATTATTAAAATACTGGCTCCGGTTTCTTCTTGTCTTTCAAATTTCCTGCAACTGCTTCACATATTGAATTACCTGCAGCACCTGCTATTCTACAGCTGTGAACCCATTCCAACCCAAATCTTAGTTGCATCCCGTCCCAGGCAGCCCTCTGCATCTTTCCAATCAGAAAACAGTCAGACATCGCCCCTCCCTGACTCAGTTTCTAAGTTAGGGGTAGGCAATTTCCACCGCCAAATGGGGTGAAGCATGCCTTCCTTCCTCGCCACTGAGACGATTCTGCACCTCAGAAGTGTCGATGCAGCGTAATAAATAGGGATGAGCATGGGGGCAGCGGTGGGTGGAGGATGTCTCCAAAGAGCACCCTGGGTCACCTGGATGGAAAAGCAGCAGGGTTACACCACCTGCCAGAAACGGGCTTAGTAGCTGCTGTGCACCCTCCACCTGCAGACCCCGATAAGGCCCAGCAGCATCCCCTCCGCCCGGGCAATCCCACAGCCTCCCCAAGTCTGTTCAGTCTCAGAACGAGGTTTTGCAGCCATCTCTCCGTCCATTAAGTTTCAGCATCCCTGGTGGCTCTTTCCAAGTTGGCATCTCCCTGGGGATTGAAGATGCAAGTTCACAGAGGAAGGGAGACGGTGCTCTTCGCCACAAAACATGGAACTCCAGGACAGAAACATATCTCTGTGGAGGACAATAGACAATGCTCGAGGGAGCACCATCTACTGTAAAATAAGAGGGTGACACTGACCCTTGCTGGGCTGCAAATGGAATTAAAATTTAAAAAAAAAAAAAAATCCTAACAATGAAGAAGCACCTCAAGCCCCGAGCAGTGAGAAAGGGAAGGACGTGAGATGCAGACAACACATGTGCTCGCCTTCCCAGGAGGAGGGAAGCTGGACGGACTAGAGGCTGCCTGGGATGTCCCGGCTGATGTTCCGTGGCAGTGAGATTGGGGGGTGGGGGGGAGATGAAAACAGACGTCAGCATCTTTATGGAGATAAGCTTGGAAGGAAGAAGAGCAACCCCACTTCTCATACCTCCTGGGAGGTGCCGTTATTCCGCCCCACCCTGCACCACCAGGCTCTGCAGACCCCACCCCTGGTGCCCCTCTGAGAAACGCAGCTGTTGGCAAGTTGGGGCTCTCCTTAGGGCAGCCAGGACCGTCTGCCTGGGGGTAGCTATGGGGGCCCCCTGTGGTCAGCTCAGGAGGGTCCCCCTTGCAGCCCAGTGGCCCCTTAACCTTCAGAGTTGGCCAAAGCACCTTAAAGTAGAAGCCAGTGGGCTCAGAGCCGCAGAGGCTGCACTGGCAGCACAGAACAAGCTTTGGTGCTTCTGAAAGTCGTTGCTGCTAAAATTGGCCTCCGCCTGCCTCCACTTGGGGAGTGTGAGCTGTTGGTCGTTTTGGACTTTTCCTCCAAGAAAGTTTTCTCTTTTTTGGCAAAGTTGAGGTGACACCTTTTTGGGGCCCCCTGACAGATCGGCTGACTGTGCCCATCTTCTCCTGGGGGAGAGCAGGCAGGATTTCTCTCTCTCACAGCTTTTTGAAGCAAAACGCAGTTCTTCATGTTGACTAAGAAGTGGCTCCAACAGCTCCAGCTGAGGGAGGAGAGAAGATACAAATCGGGCTCACGCGACACGTAGTTTCCAAGTCTTGCTAAGAAAGTAAAAAATGTTTGCATGTATTTTGATCCCCGGGTGGCATCTTCAAGTGTCAAAACAAAACGTCTTGGAAGAGATCCTTCGTGTTACACAGTTCGTCCTTCCTCTTGCCAGCAGGTGTGAGAGAAGATCTTCCACAATGTCGAGGAATCCAAAAAGGGCTAACCAAAGGGCTGTAGAAAGTCCATTACAAAGAATAAGAACCCGCAGCCTCCTGTGAGGACGCCAGAGAAACCAGCGAGCAGATGTGGCACCTGCAGCTACTCACGACAGTACCAAGACCAAAGCCAAAACCCTAACTCTGCAGATGACACCATCTCCCTGGAAGCAGCCCCCCGCCGACGACCGCCCCGAGGCAGCCTGGCTCTGTGGCTGCGGCGCCTCCGCCCGCTGTCCAGTCTACATGCTCTGAGCACCACAGCGCGGGCGCAGCCACCGTCCAGTCAGGGAGCAGAGGCGGCAAAGGAGGCTCTTGGCTCCTCCGAGGTCAACATCCATGTAGGCCCCTTAGTCTATGGCTCCTGGGTGGATGCTGAGCACCGGGGGCTCCAGGCAAGTCGGGGAGTAGTTGAGGTGTGGCTCCTTGATCCACAATAGGGGCACCCCGTTCTTCCCTTCAGAGTTCTTGCTGGAGTTCCGGCTCTTGAAGCGCACCAGCAGGATGGTGATGATGAGGATGCCAAAGATGGGGAAGGGGTAGAAGAAGACAAAGTAGAAGAGCGCGTCGTTGGAGCAGATGATGGACTGCAGGGTGGAGCCTGGAAGGGGCCAGAGGGAGACAAGACAAGAGGCTGAGAACCTGCACTTCTCTTTCCGAGACCTCGCCCAGCCCAAGGGAAGCTTTGGCGGACTCCCCCAACCCTGCCTTTCTGTCCCCTGATATCCTTGGCTTCCCAAACCTGTGTGGGAGCTTGGAAAGCCACGTGTCACTGGGCGGTTCATGAGCTCAACTCCAATGAGGACAGAAGAAGCTGACCGCAAGGCCTCCCTGGTGGCGCAAGGGGTTCAGCACAGCACTATGAAGCTGGCCGCAGCCTCTGAAGCACAAGTTCGATTCCTGGACGGCCAGGGACATTCCCACATGGCACAGCAGATCTCTCCTGTCTCGCCCGCTGCTCCCCTCAGCAGTGTATTTCAGTCAATTTGCCTGTTCTGCTCCTCACTCCGTCTCTGGTGAATCCCCTCACCCTCCCCACACCTCTGGCCTGTACCCCAGTTCTTGCATGCATAAATAAATACATCTTTTAAAAAAATGACCCCAGTTTGCTCTCATTCTCCCACACAGTTATATTTTACACTTTCCCTTTGCACTCAGTTCTGCTCCAGAAGTCCTTCTTTGGCAATATAAATGCTCTCTCCCTGACAGCTCCTGAGAGTAGTTTTCCCAGAAATAATGCTTCTTTAATTAACACGATCAACTAAAATATTACCCTGGGCCCACAGATGCCCACGGGGTGTCTGTGGCTTCAGAAAACACAGCGTGCTCCCTGATTCGTGGAGGGCAATGAAGCCAGGACCCCCGCCCTCGTCCAGGTCGGCCCTTGCACTTGGAAGAACTCAGCAGGAGCCTGGTCTCTGAGGCTGCTGGATAGTCTCTGGTCCTTGAAACACCATACACAGGGGTCGCCACAGTGGGCAGAGAATATGTGGCCTCCACACGCTCCCTGGGCTTTTGGACTGGAGCTTTTTCAGGAGTGTGTTGGGGGGTTTGAGCACAATACAGGTCTTTTCCTGCCTTCCTTTCGAGTGCACAGCTGCTGCTTATCAGTATGCTCAAGAACATTCAACACACACTTACACCTATTAGATCTCTAAAGCATGTGAAATTGTTGACAGTCAACTACTTTGACCTGTAAAATCTCAGCGTCATAGGAGTCAATCTGAGGCAATGTAAACGAGGTGATCAAAGAAAAGAAATAGCAAATGAAACTCAAAGTTTCAAATCAAATTTATCTGGCAAAAAAAGTTTTGACTGAAAACAAGTAGAAATTTCTAGTGACATTTTCACTTCTGTGTTATAGGCTAATTGTGCTAATAACTGACACCATTTTCAGTCTGAGAGAGCCACATTTTGAGAGAAGCCAATCAAGAGTGCCTCGTTAGAACAGATGATTCAAGGTCAGCAAGAATTTCCCCCGTGTTGTTTATAGAATCCTTCTTTACTCTCCAAACTCAGAGTTCTGGAATATTCTGTAACATCAATGGCAAGCTCAACTGTTCTCTGACCCCTGTGAGGGGTCTGCCCTTCTAGGTTGGTCCTCCCAGGTGACCATGAAAATCCACCTACATCCATGTCACCCTCTAAATAAAAATGACCCAGGAAAACAGAAAGAGTGACAGGGAGGCATTGGGGCTTCATTTTCTCTCCTTATGAGTCTGAAGCACTTGTTAATTGGCTAAAGAGCGATCAGAGTGAATATTCCAAAGTGTAACACAGTAACCCCTGACCAGGTATTTATGTGATGAACTTTACCACAGGATGTCAACAACAGAGGAAACACTACAACAGACTCAGTGTGGCATCAGGATTATTGCACAGACTGACGATGACTGTGTTATCACTGCCGCTCACACTCCTGAGTTGGCCTGGGCCATCAGGGTCAGTGACATGAACGGTGTGTCAAGTCCTAAATGCCCGGGACAGGCAAGGAAAGTGCTTATTAACCTGCAAACGCGCCCTGACCTGTCCCTGAGACACAGCTGTCACCAGTGCGACCCTCCCCTGCCAACTGGGGAAACTCACTGGTGTCCAGGACGCGGATGCTGATGGTGGCCGACTCCTCCTCTGTCAGCCGGTACCAATCTCCCTGAGGGCTGGGCAGCCACTCCTCCACGCGGCAGGAGTAGTTGCCCGTGTCCTGTGGGCTGGCCTGCAGCACCGTGAGCCGGTAGAGCAGTGGCGAGAGCCTCTGGAAGCGGAGTCTGCCTTCCCAGGGGCCTCCCTCTGGGCTGAAGATGGCGTCAGGGCCCACGCTCAGTAGCGCAGTCCTCTCCGTGGGGTCCTCCCCCTGCTCCTGCTCCTCCTCCTCCATCACCTCCTGCTCCTCCATTTCTGCCAGGCCAGGGCTGCCCTTTTTCCCACTGACTTTAGTCCTCAGGGAAAACCAGGCCACAGCGAAGCGGGAGTCCTGGCTTGAGCGAGACACGATGCTGCAGTCCAGCTGGAAGGCGGCCTTCTCGGACACTGTGGCGTTGGGGACCACCGTGTCCACCTGCAGGGCCGCATCTGGGATGAGGGACAGAGAAGGGAGGAGAGATTATTTTCATTTCTCTGCTCAGAACAACCTAAGTGTCTGTCACTAAAGACATCACAGCAACATCCACGCAACAGAACACGAGGCAGCAGCCAAGAGCAAAGGGCTGGTGCTAGAAGCAGAGAAGCGGGAGGAGAGAAAAGAATTACAGCGCACAGCACTACGTGCCTGTTAGTATTTGCATGGAGTATCGGTGGAAAAGCTTCCAAGAAGCTGGTGACGTGCTGCTTATGGGAATCAGGTGGGAGCTACACCATCACCTTGTGGGGGTTGAAGAACATTTCCTCCCCCTACCCCCTGGAAGCTCAGAAGTTCACCTGGATTGGAAATATGACCATGTGACCATATGGGGCAGGGTGAGGGTGATGACTGGTGTCCTTGTAAAGAGAGCAGATGACATGCAGGACACAGAGAAGGGCCAGTGAGGGCAGAGGGGTGCAGAGATGGAGGGGTATAGAGGCTGGAGGGTCAGGAAACCACTTCACCCCTTCAGCTGCTTCTGACTTAAATTGTGTGCTGGCTCTGCTGCCCGCCCTGGGTGAGTGCCAGGAGGTAAATATTCCACCAGGAAGGAAGCCAAACAATAGACAACAGACCTGGAGGGGCCCCTCACCCAGAGCGCAGACGCCCCCAGGGAGGGTGACAGGAACAAGCCCCTCCTAGCTGGTGTGGGCACCGAGCACCAGGGGCACCCGGGCAGTCACGGTGGCACCAGACCACCAGACCAGCTGTTGTCTCTTCCTTTATTTTGCTGGCTGCTGCTTTTTTTCTGTTTTGGCTCGCTGGGGTAGGTTCTAAACAAATAATTCAATCCTGGCTACTGAAAGTCGTCCTTTGGCTCCGCTGATGAAACGCTCACGAGAGCCGCCAGGGGAACATCAGCAGGAGAAGAGACACAGACTCGGACTCTGCTTGGACGGAGACCAATAGGCGCATTTCCCGAGGGCCATCCCGGGCTTCCAATGAACTGGCTGAGTGTCGCTCACAGGTGAACAAAGGCTGGGGCTCCCACCTCTTTTGTGGGGTTCTACCCAGTCCCTCTGCAACCCCTTCAGCCCATCTGGAGTCTCGGGGTGCACCGCTGGCACACAGAGCTCTAGGACAGGCTACAGGTGGCAGTGGCACTGGAGCCCACTTCGCTCTGGGACCTTGGGGGACCCACGGATGAGTGGGGACTTCGTGCACTGAGGACCTGCACCTCTCAGCTTTATTATGTGTCTAAATGTGTAGCAACAATTACACCACTAATTGCATGCATTTAGGCACTTGAGAAACAATCAGGAAAACAAGAAAAGCACCAGGTCATGCAGAGCCGTCATCAGTACCAAGGGAATTATTAGGAAGTGAGAGCAAAGTTGCAGATAATTCTTCTTTTTCTATTTAAAGCATATGACTCAGGGCCTCCCTGGTAGTGCAAGGGGTTATGTCTCAGCACTATGATGCTATGGGCAGCCACTATGACATGAGTTTGATCCCTGGCCAGGGAGCTACCCATATGGCGCAGCAGACCTCTCCTGTCTCGCCCGCTGCTCCCCTCAGCAGTGTATTTCAGTGGATCTGCCTGTTCTGCTCCCCACTCTGTCTCTGGTGAATCCTCTCACCCCCTCCCCCGCACCTGTGGCCCACACCCCAGCTCTTGTATGCATAAATAAATAAATCTTTAAAAAAAAAAAAAAATGAATCAATTCTTTTCCACTGAAAAATCCACAAGCTTAAATTTGTTTAACCACACAGCTATTGTTTCGTGATTTCTGCACAACGACCACCTGTCTGAATCTGAATATATTCTTTAAAAAGCAAATAGCCTGTGCTCTGGGAATGACTGTCAAAATGTGTTCTAGTTAAGAAACAGCATCACTCCAGGACAAAGCCAGACGCACAGTTTTCTATTCACTAGGGGGACAATTTTTTAGATGACTGAATGCAAACGCAAAATGCAAATGCCCATATATTTCAGTGCAAACAATGAACCCACACAGTTGAGGCAGCGCAGGAAACACCACTGTCGTGGGGGCTGGACGCCCAGCCTCACCTGGTCGCGTGACCGCCACGGCCATCTGCCCCGCGGTGTCCTCGGCCCGCTTGTACCACACGCCGCTGGGGCTGGGCAGCCACTCCTCCACGCGGCAGCTGTAGGTGCCGCTGTCCTGCACGGCCACGTTCTGGATGAAGAGCCGGAACACCCCCACAGAGGGGCTCTCCAGGTGGAGCCGCCCCTTCAGGTTGTTCTTGGCCGCCTGCTCCCCATAGTGGAAGGTGGCGTCCCGGCTCAGGCGGGCCAGTGTCTCCCGCTCCGGGTGGTTGGGCTTCCACACGAACCACTCCACCAGCAGCTGGGAGGCCGCGCTGGTGCGGTTCAGCACCACACACTCCAGCTGCACCTGCTGGGTCTCCAGGACGGACAGGTTCCCCTGGGCCTGGCTGAGCTTCAGGCGGCTGTCTGCAAGGCGAGGGGAGAGGGTCAGCAGGCGGAGAACAGAGGCCGCGCGCACCTTTCCAAACAGGTGAGTGTACAACTGGCAGAAACAGACTCCCACCCTGAACAGCAGCACGATGGGAGTTGCCATGTTACAGCTCTGGGCGACAGTAACCGTGTCCCCCAGTGGATGACCCTCATCAGTTCAGCTGCTCAGGAGGGGACAGGGTAGGCTGTGGTGACTGTACCTCCAAACAGCAGCTGACTATGAAGCTCACAGCTGCTGGGGGACAGAGGAAGGGCACTGGGAGACCCCTCCAGAGCAAGAGCAGATTTTGATGCTGACTACGTGATAAATAGAATCTGCTGGATTGTTAGCACAAAGGAACTGCCAAGGAAATCCACTTCAATATGCTCAAGAGCTGGCCCTAATAGTGCAGTTCTCACTCTCCTTCCAAAGATACCAAGCAGGTAGGACCTGAGCTGACCTGACATCAGCCAAGACAGACACTGATGCAACTGGGGGTTTGAAAACTCAAGCACATCCTCCTCCAGGGGAAGTCACTGACAGCACCCGGCTGACATCACTCGTGATTTCACAGAAGCCCCTGGTGCGTCCGTCTGGACCAGAGGAGAACCCCCAAAACCCCAAATGCACAGACGCACCCAGGATCACCATCTCCTGAGTGACATCTGGGGGAGCTCCTGCACCTTCACCTTTTATTTTAAATACTGTCAGGCTGTTTTATAACACACAATTACTTTTGCAATTAAAGGGTGAAAATAATTTAGCAGGAAAGTTATTTTAAATAATCAGTCTCTCATTCAAGGTGTCTGTGGGTTGAAAAATTATCATTTTCTTCTCTGTCCTTTTTTTTTTTTTTTGTATTTTCCAGAAACTCTTAACATAGGGGAAAAAAGGGGGGGGGGACAAATTAAATGTAGTAAGAAAAAATAAAAAACGAAAACATTCAAATCAAAACCTTAACTGAGAAAGGGAAATGTGCTATTTTCACCCGTGTCCTCTGAGTTCTGTGCTTTACAGTGTTGATATTCCCTACAAAATGAGAGTTCACTGAGCGTGCTCTGGTCAGGACCCTCACAGCCCCAGGCAGGCCCAGGTAGCTTGGTGAACTCTCGTATCTCAGAAGGGGAATCTCCCGCGATAAACTTAGGATCCACCAAGAATCTCAGTTTCAGCACAAACAAGAAAAGGGAAAGGCAGGAGGTGGCCGAGAGGAAATGAGGTAGAGGAAGTGGAAGTCACACTTTCTCAGGAGAGACAATGTCAAATCTGTAAGCAGAGGAAGAACAGAAACCTGAAGACACTTCCAGGCTGCAGAAGCCTTCCGTTTTCAAGAGCCCCAGGGACCGGCCTGCAGGCAGGACAGGGAAATGCCAGCAGCCCATTCCGACCAGAGGCACCTCCTGCTCGGCCAGCAGGGCCAGCACGGGATGTCACTGCGGGGCTGACGAGGGCCTGCACGGGGCAGCTGCAGAAGTGCAGTCAGCCAGAAAGGAAGGGACAGTCCCGCTGCATTTGGCCTGAGCTGCCCTCACCTGGCTGTTTCACTGTGACTTCTGTGCGCCCCGAAACCTCCTCGGCCAGCTTGTACCAGGCGTAGTTGGGACTCAGCAGCCACTCCTCCACGTGGCAGTAGTAGCTGCCGCTGTCGCTGACCTCGGCTCTCTGCACCGTGAGGCTGAACAGGCCCCCCGACACGTGCCTCTCGAACTGCAGCCGGGCTCGCAGGCCCTCCTCCTCGGCGTAGGTGCCGTACTCGAAGGCGGAGTTGTGGGTGGTTTTGAGGATGAGCTTGCCGTCGGCGTCCGAGGGCTTGTGCACGTACCAGAGCACGGCGAAGTGGGAGTTCTGGCTGGTCTGGGACTTGACCGAGCAGTTCAGCTGGATGGGCCTGTTCTCCACCAGGGTGAGGGTCCTCTTGGATTTGCTCACCTGCAGCTTTGTCACTGCAAAGGAACGGGAGTGGCTCAGCAAGACCCCCGCACCGTGACCCGGCCACGCCTCACGGGTTGCGCCCTGCACGGTCTCCAGAGCACTGAACACTCACGAGCTCCCGTGAAGCTAGCCCAGAGGAGAGCACAGTGGAGCCGTGTTCACCCCACACTCCCTGCCTGGCTGCTCACCCCCGGCTCGGGCTGCCTGTCTCTCATCTCCTGCCAGCTCTCCTGCCATCGTGACACCTCTGGGGGTGCCGTGAAATCACAGCCTCCACCACTTCCCTGCCTGAAACAGTTCAATGGCTCCCGACTGCTTACAGCTCATATAGGAAAAAGGATCTGTTTCACAATACAAAGTTCCTTTGGGTTCTGGCTTTACCCAACTGTCCTTCCTCATCCCCATGGCCCCCCTCCCAAACCCCCAGTCTCCCACCCCGGCTCCCCGAGGTGGCTGCTCCCTGAGTGCTGGCCTCTGCCCAGCTAACCTCTGCCCAGCTGCCTCCTCCAGGCATGTCTGCCTCGGAGCCTTCTCTCTGCTCCCCCTGTAGATCCCCCTCCCTCATTTCACCCCTCCCAGTGCGCCTGTGTGGTCACCAGCACCCTCTTAATCTCTGTCTCCTTTCTGCTCTAGTCCACGAGACCCCCAAGAGCTTCTTCGATTCAATCTACAAATATTCAGCAAATGTCCACGCTGTGGCCCTCAGGACGCTAAGTATGTTGCTCTGAAGAGTTCGAGTCTGCCCGCGGATGTTTTCACACCGCACCCCCAGAGCCTAGCGTGGTGCCTGGGCTTCGGAAAGCGCGCACGCCAGGTTTGCTGAGACATGGAAGTGGGTGCGTGGAAGAGGGTGTGCTGGAAAAATGCAGCAGCAGTAGCTAGAGGATGCTGGGTGGATCTTCCCGGGGGAAGAGAGGGAGAAGGCCGAGAAGAAAATGACGGGCAAACCCGGCAGAAAAGAGCCAAGTGCAGTCTCCCCAGCTCCCCCGCTATCCTGCTCTAAATCCAGAGCAAAGGGGAGCCGCCGGAGTGCCGCCCCACCTGCTAATTAATAACCGGGCTCACCTTCAGGCGGCACGAAGCCAAGGTTTAATGAACTCTGTCTCCCCAAGGTAATCTGAGAGCTCACCGCTCCTTCATTACCGCACTTGGCCCTGCTCCCCCTACCACCACCTCCCCTACTGAGAAAGGAAAAAAGGAAAAAGACACAATTCCAAGTTCCTCTTAGGGAGCTAATAGAAAAGCATTATTTCACCTCCACCTCTTTTCTTTATGCAGAGCTGACGGGGCCCACGTGACTCACCAGCTGAGAATGAAACGCAGGTGAGGCCAGCCCGGGATGGGGGGATGCTGCCAGCCAGTGCCCAGCACCCCTGCTGCCCAGCCTTGACCCAGACACAGGACCGAGCCCCTGGTGCCAGTGCCGGGCTCCTCACCAGCTGGGCTGGCTCATTCAGAGCCTGGTGGGCGGGACAGCATCAAGGCGTGAGGCCCAGGTGCCAAGCAGCGGAGCCTTCTCCTAGGCTGTCACGTGTGTACCCTGACACACACACATGGTCTAAGCAGCTGAGAGGACTCAGCCCACTAAGGTGTAGCAGGATCCCACACCCAAGGCCATCACCGCAACAGCCCTTCTGGGGACACGGCCCCCGAGGAAATGAGGCTGCGTCCTCCCCAGGGCAGGCTGAGTTCACCAGCCCCAGCCCATCAGGCTGTGAGGGCCCCTCAAGCACAGTTCGGGGTTCACCTATTCTGTGAACAAGCCTGGTCTCCTGCCTTCTTGAAAGGTACCAAGTTGCCCAGGATGCCTTGGAATCCAGGGGCGGGGCCTGCCCGTAAGCTCCCCAGCTCTGGAAACTAGACTCCCATTAGCTCGCCAGTCAACTTTCAGATCGGGTTCCTACAATGAAACCGCCAACTCCCTTTTCATTCCTTTCCAAGCCAATTCACCACATGCAAATGATAGCTCTATCAGAGCAAATGACACCACCTGAATTATCTGGTTCTTGTCCAAAAAAAAAGGGTTGTTCAGGGTAGAGTAGAAAGAGCTTTAAAATGTATTATTAATTGGGGCCAGATTATTTTTGCAACTGTTACTAAGGAAACCTCAATTGCTATAGTAACTGCATATGTTAAGTTGGAATCCTATGACTAAACTTTAATTCAGTCACGTGGTCTGAGAACAAGAATCCAAGAGAAATGTTTCAAAGCATTTCCATTTTCCCCCTTCCCATGTCAAAATATTGTGAAGTGTTGAAAAAGAGGCATTTTTGAAATGTGCGTGTCTGACAGGTGGGCGAGGGGTCAGCTCGATTCTACTCTCTGCATTTCTTCCCACATCTCAGGGCCGGGAGGATCTTCCCCAAAGCCCAGGGGAGTTTTCAGCCTCCTCAACTCATTAGGAAGAGCTCCCAAGTCCTGCCCTGGGCGGGTGCAGCCTGCATCCCTCCCTCCATAGAAGTAGGGGGGCCAGCCCCTTAAGAACCAGAGAGGCTTTCATCTGTAAGATGAGACCACAGGATGGAGCCTAATAGACTACAGGCAACAGTCTGTGCAAAGTTGAGCTCACACTCTGAAACAAGCATGCAATGATACTTCTTAGCTCTTTCACTTCTTTTTGGTTTCTGGGCTCTGTCCCCTATTCTAGGCCCAACATTAGGTTGAAAGCCATCAAACATGAATGGTAAACTTGCTTCTAAGGCCTGCCCATGGTCCAGCACCCCCAATGTCACACGTGCGGTTGTTAGAAATGCAGACTCTCAGTTTCCCTGCACCCCAGACCACTGAGTCAGAATTTGCCCTTGAACAAGATCCACAGGTGATTCAGGTGCACCTTAAGCCTGGGAAACTTGTGCTTGGCTGTGTAGGTGAATATGGTTAGAGAGGCAGCAAATGCAGACGTGAAAATATAAACCACTGAGGATGGGCACTGGGTTAATTCCTCGGCACAAGGAAGAAAGAATCCAACGAGACACAGGATGAAGGGTCAGAGGCTCTGAGGCCTACCTGGAGCACTCCCTCCTCTGAGTGCTCCCTGTGAGTGCTCCACCTGTAAGTTCCACCTTCGAGAACCCCACCTGTGGGCACCTCCCTGCAAGCATCCCCTGCTCCTGAGCACCCCACTGTGAGTTACCCCACAACTTCCCTGTGAGCAGCCCCAGGCGCACCCCTGCAAGCAGCCCCCTGTGAGAGAGGCCCCGGAAGTGCAGCTCCAGCTGACACGTGACAGTACTGGTGACACTGGGATAGAGGGGCCAGTGGCTGGCAGTGGAGTCTCCCAACTGAGGGCAACAAGTCAGCCAGGAGACTCAGGGCACGACAGAAGAGCTGTCGGTGAAGAGTGTGTGTGCGTGTGTGTCTCACCCATTCTTGGGAAGTATGTGTGTATGTGAGTGTGTCCATGTGAAAGTGTGAGTGCCTGAGTGTGTACCCCTGTATGACCGGGTGTGTTAGTGTGTGTATGTTTGTGTGTGTGTGTTGGTGCATGTGTGAGTGGGTTTGTTCTGCGTGTGAACAAGTGTAAGTGTGTGAGTGCTGCATGTGTGTGTGAGTGTGTCTCCCATCCATTCCCGGGGAGAAGGTGCTAGTCACGCAGCCATCACAATCCAGCATCCCCTTCCTTAGCATTCCTGTTACCCCTGCTCCTCTCTCCCCCTGGTCACGCCTAGTTTGGGCCCCTAATTATCATTCTCGGGATTGCACTCAGCCCCAGCTCTACCAGGCAGGGCTTCCTAAGTCGCAAACAGGAGCCGCTGCTCCCAGCTTAGCACCCGCCTGCCAGGCTGCAACAGCCGCACTCTCAGCAGGGCAGCCGCCGCCACAGGGAGCGCACCGTGCAGGTGTCCAATGGCCGACTGATTTGGGGTGAGAGGACTCAATGGACTAAAGTCAGAAGTAGACAGAAACCCACACCTGGGATGCTTGCGTGCACTAAGGCTCGCCCTGCTGCACGTTTTCCAGCGGCACTCACATGGGAGAGAACGCCACCTCTGGCCTACTTGCATTTTACTAGCAAAACAAAAAAGAAAATTTGGCATAGTTTTAACATGCCAGACAAGTTGGGGGCGGGGGGAGGTGTGTTCCTTTGTTTTATTCAGAATTGCAGCAAGAGATGCTCAGGATTTCAGCACAGCAGACATAGCCAGGGGGCCCCTCTGGCACAGATCCACGGGACCCCCTGCTGCAGCCATCCCTAAGTACCAACAAAGAACATTATTTATTACGGACTACTTAAAAAGAATTCCTCGCAGCACTGCAACAATTTTTAAAGAGTATATGAGCAGGTGTGATATACTGTCTATTAATGAATTTTAGTTGAGTAGTAAAGGGGTTATTATGTAATTTTTATAAAAAAAGAGGACGTGACCTGACTGAGCTAGGTTTAGAATATTGCTCAGTTCAGAATATTCTTATTTAGCAAGCGTATATAGTCTTTTTAATGCATGGAGCACTACTATAAGCACTTTACAAATACTAACTACTTGGTGCCCACCAGCCCTGTGAAATAAAATCCCTTATTCCCAATTTTATAAAGACACTTGCCCAGGGTCACACTGTGGTGAGCAGCAAAGCCAGGACTCAGGCCCAGGCTGTCTGGTCTGTTTTCAACTTGAGCCGCTATGGCTGCTTCCCACCCCCTCACTCTGAGCACAGGGTCAGACCCTCTTGACCCCCTGGTTCCCTCCTTGGTGAGCTCCTCCATCCACTCTGTTATCAGGGAAATGCCCTCTGCTCCCTCCCCCTTTACCTCCACACAAAGGGATTTCCTCTTCCTTGCAGCCCAGGCCCTGGGCCAGCTCCACTACCCCACAACTCTTCCCTGGCCCCTCTCTTCCCAGGCCTGCCACCTCCTCCATATAGCCCTCATAGAAGGACTGTGACCCCTCGTCTCTGTAGCCAGAGCTCCCTGTGCAGAAACCAGCACACAGTAGATACTCAGACGTGCTTACAGAAGGGACCTCGGGAGGCAGGAGCAAGGAGAAAGTAGCAAATGGTCAAGAGGTGGGAATGGCTCATCAGAAGTCACCCAGACACGACCTGTCAGGCCTCACCTGTCTGCAGAGAGAACAGACCCCAGTTGTGACTCCAAACAGGTATACCAGGTGTCACCATGACAACAAGACCTGAGGCTAAGGGGAGGGCTAGGGACTCCTGCAGGGTTCTCGTTCTCATGCTCACCGTATCTCTGAGCTCCCAGCAGGCAGAAGCCCGTGCACAGGGGAGCTGAACCATGTGCAGGAATGTCAGTTTGTGTGAAAGAGGAGCAGCTCAGGGTCTCCCATGAGAGAGCAGGGGCAATCCCTCTGAGGGACAGGGCAGCCTGTCACCAACTAGACTGTGACAAGGAGGCCCAGTGTTCCCAAGCCCTGGATTCATGGAGACAAAGATAAAGCCCCTGGCTCTCCCAATCTGCCAGGTCAGCAATAAGAAATTGGAGAAAACGGATTTGGCAGCATCCACAGGGTATTAAATATTCATCCTGACTACCCATCAGTAAAATCCCAGCAGAATACACCACTGACAAGTGGGCTTTCTACACCGGAGGCTGTCCTCCTAGAAGCTTGTTTATTGCTTTGTCAATTTTAATGTGCAATATTTAATAGGCAGACCGAGATACGGTCGTAAACATTTGGAAAATGAATGCTGACACTTCCCCTATTGCTTCTGTATTTAGGGATATATAATTGGAGGGTGTTTTGCTGCTAAAGAAAATCAGAAGGAAGCAAAGTGATGCTCCAAAATTAAAAGAGGGAAGAATTGATTAAAAACCAAAATCGAATATGCTGGATGATCTTATTGTTGCCTTAATGCCCCTTGGGGGTCACCCTGCACCATCAGTGGGAGTCAGGCCAGACGGAATCCACAAGAAAGGGGAGGTAGGGCACTCGGCGGGATCTCCTTGGGGATGTGCACACGGGACAGGAAAGAGGGCACGGATGGGCCAGTAACAGACCCACAATGAGGCCCTTTCATGAATTGAATTCCCGAGCAGTCAGGTCCGCAGGTGGCTCTGCAAGGCACAGGCCTGTGGGCAGACCACACAGAGCATCCTGGGCACAGAGGGCACCGGCCTGGAGGGTTCCTGATAATGGGCCAGCGTGAGTGAGGCAAGAGCCCACAGTTTCTATTTCATTCTGTTAGAATATTTGACAGAACATTCTTTAAAAAAAGAAAGTGGTGGGGCTGGGAGAACTGGTGCTTCCTCACGGAGAACACAGGGTAGGAGATCCCTGCTTTGTGGGATCAGGCATGGAAAGACGAGAAGAGAAGGCAGCACCAGTTCTGATCCCCCAGTCTGAGAGCCACCTGGTGGCAGAAGTTAGAGGAAGCAGGGAAGTTAGAAGAGGCTCAACCACTAGCCAGCAAGGTCTTGGGGAAGCTTGTGGGCATCTACCTGTAGGAAACAAATTTAGTTCCTATGAAAGGGCATCAGGAAATCAGGAAAAAAGGTCGGTAAGCCATAGAGAGGAGAGAGTAAATAAAAACACATGGTACTGGAGAGGGTCCCGGAGAAGAAAACTGAATGTCTGCAAGAGACCATGATATTAAAAAATTAAGAGTCTGGACTCCGGGGCCAGACTTCCTGTCTGGATTTGACTCTTGGCTCTGCCACTCATCATGGCTCACTGGATGATTTATTTGACCTCTGTGTCGGGGTACCACCTACAAAAGGGGTGAAGCAGGATCCTTCTCCACTGCAGGGATTAAGAACTAAGTAACCATGACACATGAAGTGTGCAGGCTGGCGATGGGGCACAGGAAATACCCATCAATACCAGCTGCTCTTGTTACCCGGCCTGTGCCAGATGCCTCCACCTCAGCCACCCGGAGAGAGACCACATCTGGAATGACCCATTGATGGAAGCAGGGAGAATGATTTCAGATTATACCGCCTTTTAAAAGGTCAAAGTGTCCTTTCCGTCCACCCTAATTGCTTTTTACTAAGGCACATTTGGGTTCAAACCCCAGCTCCCCACTCACTGCTTACTGGACATCCACAAGTGAGGCTCCTCTGGCCTCAGCCCCTCACTCATCGGATGGACACACAGCACTGCCCCCAGGGCTGCAGGGAGGCCGAGGAGGAGACCAGCACACAGCCAGCCCTCCGGTGTTTTTCCTCTTCAACTTCCCCCAAATACAAGCACCGATACCAAGCAGAGTGCAAGGGAAAGGAGTGAAAGCAAACATGCAGCTCTTTGGAAAATATTAAGTGCTAAATGCATAAATATTTAATAAGGGAGAGGCAGCACTTACAGGGTGTGCCCTCAAGCTCGGCCGCTCCCCAGAGCCCTGCGGCCGCCGGCACCTGCCTTTGCTCTCAGCAGCCTCCAGAGGGCAATGAGGGTGCATTACTGGGCCCTTCTGAGCAGAGGCCTCCCTCTGGCATCAGCCTGGCCTCCACCCCCCAGTCTCCCTGTGGTTCTCCATTTCCAGCACAAACACAACCAACCAAGGCAGCCAGACCCACAGGAGATGGGACACAGCCTCGGAGCAGGTGCTGGGGCCCCGAACTCGAGCTACTTTTCTACCCAAGGGGCAATGAAATGGCAATGAAATGGCAAACGGAGCTGTCTGGAAGCCCTTCCAGTCTCAGCCTGCCACTCACCCAGCTGGGGTGCACCGTCGAGTCTCCTAATACGGAGCCCTGGCTTCCTCGTGGGGAAACCGAAAAGGGAAGACAAAGGCCAATGCTCACTGTTTGGTGAATTTTAAAAGAAAATGTGAGCACAAAGCCCGGCATCCAATGGGTGCTAAATAAATGCTGTCTGCTTTTCCCCTTAGTATCATTTCACGTTAATCAGAATCCAAATAACTAGAACCTGCAATGATCTCATTCCTGACTCTTCCCTTACGCACTGCCGCCAGTCTTAGATTCTGCATGGTTTTAGAAACAAGCAAATATGGGGGATTCATTCAAAAAGACCAAGTCAGGCAAGGCCCCACTTCTCCGCCTTCCACGGCTACAGCACCACGCGACGAGCCTGCTGCTCAGAACCTACCCTCGAGGGCCAGCGGGGTCAGCAAGAGGTGGCAGCTCCTCTTCAGGCACAACAAAGGCTCACACAAAAGGCTTAACCCTCCATTAACCTGAAAACCCACTTAAGCACAACTTGAGCATCTTGTCACCCAAGTTTACACTAACTGGCCAAGGAAACGTGCCGTCATCCAGACAGCCTGCTCATTCCAGACTCTGACGGCTGGAAGAGGTGAAGGAGAAACCCAGGCATCGCCATTACTTCACTGCTGAAAACGACACAGAGACCATCTCAGTGGTTCAGCAGATGGGGGTGGGCACTGACCACAGCTGAGGGCAGGCACAGAATTCCCTTTTGCACGGTGTAGAAACCAGCTTTGCAAAGTGGGTGGGTCAGAATAAAATAGATGTTGCAAAGGCGCCTGCTGTCCAATCCCACCACCAGCTGCCTGGGTGCCTGTGCCCTCCTGGTCAGGGTCCCGGCCTGCCCTCTCTCCACCAGCCTCCATGTGACAGGAGACAGGGACAGACACCGGGCAGTCTATAACAGGCATGCGCTTAGCCACTCCCTTGTGTGAGGGGGAAAGGAGAGTATTTGGCAAAAGAAAAAGCCCTGATGAAGGATCCCCAGGTCAGAGCATCCTTACCCTCTCTGCAGGAGATGCAGTCTGCAAGAGAAGGAACCCCAAATTCAGGGCACATGGACAGGGTCAGGGTCAGGGAAACAGCGAGGGCTCAAATCCTAACTCCACGACTTACAGCCCCACGACCCTGGGCCGGGCACCTCACCTTCCCGGGCTGTGGAAGTCTAATCAGACAGCAGAGCAGATGGTCAGCAAGTGCCCGCTGTCTTCCCGGCCCCTTCCCAGGTCCCTTGTCTGTATAGGGGGGTGGGGGGAACAATGGTTCACATCACTCATTCATATCACTGTTGCAAGAAAGAGCGGAAATGAGGTTAAGAAGCTAGAGTTGGCCTGAACACTTCACAACTGTTAGTGTCTCTCTCTCTCTCTCACACACACACAGGCTGGAGAATTGTTCTAGATTAAAGGAGTCTAAAGAGATGTGATGTGACAACTAAAAACCAAGTGTAATCCCTGCTTGGATCTGCTTCGGAGGGAAGCAAACTACAGGCGCATTACTGGGACGCCTGGGAAAATGCCGGCAATGCCCTCTAATCACGCTCAGTTCCAGGGGAGGATGATAGACCTGCGGCTGGGAGGAGGCACCCCCAGTTCTTAGTGACACACGCTGACATCTTAGCAGGAAGTGTCCTGCTGGCCACGTGACCTCCGATGGTTAAACCAAGTAAGCAGGTGCCCAGAGAGAGACAAGTGCAGTCAGATGTAAGCATCTCAGTGAGACATTAATCGGCCATTAACAAAGGGGTACAGGATCCTTGCAACTTCCCAGAGAGTTGAAATTTCTCAAACCACTAACCCTACCCCAGCCCTCATCTGGCTGCAGCAACCAGCCTAGCCCTCACCCGGCTGCAGCACCCCACCCTGGCCTGGCCCTTACCTGGCTGTAGCACTTCACCCTGGCCAGCCTTTACCTGGCTGCAGCCCTCACCTGGCTGTAGCACCCCGGCCTGGTCCTTACCTAGCTGCAGCACCCCACCATGGCCTGGCCCTCACCTGGCTGTAGCACCCTGGCCTAGCCCTCACCTGGCTGCAGCACCCTGGCCCAGCCCTCACCTGGCTGCAGCACCCGGCCCGGCCCTCACCTGGCTGCAGCACCCTGATCTCCAGCAGGTTGGAGGTGCGCTCGGCCAGCCGCGTCCAGGTGTTGTTGTAGTTCCTGCGCCACAGCTCCGCCAGGCACTGGTACTTGCCGGCCTCCGTGTCACTGGCTCGGCTGATGCTCAGGCGGACGTTGTTGCTGGACTCCGCCTTCTCGATGGCCGTCCGGGTTCGGAAGCTGGAGGACCTGTCCCCCCACTGGACGCCTCCGTCCCGGGTGAAGGTCACCAGGTCGTGGAACTCGATGGTGCCCACCGGCTGGAAGCGCCATGTCACCGACACGGGGACCCGGGATGGGTAGTGAGGCTTGAGGATGCACTGGAGGTCGAAGGAGTCACTGTAGGTCACACCCGGCGTCCGGGAGATGGCCGTGACCGCAAAGCCCGTTTCTGGAGAGAGAGAGAGCGGAGAGGCTCAAGCCATAGAGCAGGGTGAGGCTGCGCGGGGCGCCTCTGCAGACACTCGCAGCTCTGTCTCTTGATGCCCAGCCCAGACTGTCTGCTTCACCTGTTGAGGCACGAACCCACCGTTCACAGGCCCCTCAGAACGAGGCCACCAGTGTGCTGGAGCGGCGCTGCAGGCCCTGCCCAATGGTGCGCTCGTGCAGGTCAGAGCGCTCACGGGTCCCCTCTCTGCAGGGAGACAGGGAGGCTGGGCCCTTCCCTGGGGTCTCGGCACCCCACGCTGACACAGGAGGAACAATCCCAAAGCCAGTTCCCTTCCCCATGGCCAGGTGGACACATTCTCCCACTGGACGTCTCCCCTTTCTGGCCCACTGATGCGTCGGTGCCAGAAAAGAGGTAGACAGTAGAGAAGTGCCCCCCGTCCCAGGCCACACAGGGTTACCCCCACTTATCTCATGAAATCCAGGGCAGAAAAGCGGTGTGTGCATGCTGTGTAAGACTGAAAGGCAGTCTTTCCCCAGGCACCTTCTTGCTCTTCCACCCGCTTGGGCTTCCCTGATTGTGGCTTTAGCCAGAGGCACCCCAAGGGTGGAGAACACGTGAGCAGAGCAGAGCCAGGAGCCAGGGTCCCGGTCAGAGCACCTTGGCAACCCCTGATTGAGGTAACCACTAACCACAGACATATGGCGAGCATGAAAAAATTCAGAGGCTAACCTGAAGCATTTAAAGTGCTTCCAGAGAAACAGTCCCCACCAACTCCAAGCACTCCTCCACGTTCCTGACCTCGCAGGGTGAGGAAAGACAAGCGCCATCTGCCCAGAACTTCCCTCACGGCACCCCCTCCACAGGTCTACACCACTGCAGAGTGTGGGCGCAGGGGTCAGGGTCGTCAGGAAACCGGACAAAGCTTCTAGAGACAGGAGACTCAGCTAAATGGTCACTGCAGAAAGCAGGTTGGTCAAACTTTGGGGCTGAACTTCTAGAAGTGTAATTCCCATCTTGGGGACTAGGGGGCGATAGAGGACTTGCGGGCACAACCACTGGACAGGCAGCTGTCTCTACTGGGGGGTGTCCAAGAGCACCCCACAGGCTGCAGCACCTGGGAGGAAGCCGAGGACGACTCCACTGTGGTCTCCTATCAACGGGGAGACCTGACATGACAAGCTACCAGCCTAGCCAAGTAGCAGACTGGCCTTTTAAAATCCAATATACGGATTATATTAGGGAGCTAAAAGTTGATAAAAGCCTCTTTAACTACCTCGTGAGAAGCCAATCTAATATTCTCTGTTCTTAGCAAATCTCAAGGTATCATTTAATTTCATGCTAATAAGGAAATGGCCTTATAGAGGAGTAGATAAAAACACAGACTTCGAAATAAAATTAAGACCGACTGCTGCTTTCCTGGGTTCAGAGTGCAGGTTGGTCATTTAAAAGCTGGAGCCCTGGGCGAATCTGTTAACCGCTCAGTGTTCCTGTAAATGGAAGCGCTACCTCTTGGCCAGGTAAGGATTCACATGGACAATCAAGCGTAAGTACTTTCACTCAGCCAGGAGCACAATTAATGCTCAACAGAACATTTTGGGGGGCTGAGTCCCTGGGCAGGAGAGAGAGCTTTTGCTCCTGCTCTTCCAGGTGAGCTTTGGGAGGGACTGTGTTCTCTACCTGGACCACCTCTCCTGCTGGTCTTGCTCCCCTGGCCAGGATACAATAACTCTGTTCCCACTCTGGCCCAGGGGTGCTAACAGGTCCCAGCTGTTGCCAGTCCCCAGGGGCCTCATCATGCATGTCAGTGCCCTCAACCCTGTCCACACTGCTATAAAGGGGTCCTTCAAACAAACCCTTTGAAAAGTGCCAATTCTGTCCTGCCAGCACACTGACCCACAGAACTCACGGTGAGGGCCTCCCAGGTGGCACAGCGGGTTGAGCTCAGCACTGTGAAGCTGTCCGCAGCCACTGCAGCGTGGGTTCGATTCCTGGCCAGCCGGGGAGATACCCACATGGCGCAGCAGACCTCTCTTGTCTCACCCACTGCTCCCCTCAGCAAAGTCTTTGGTCCACCTGCCTGTTCTGCCCTCCACTCTGGTGAATTCTCTCATCCTCTCACACCTCTGGCCTGTACCCCAGTTCTTGTATAAATAAAAAATATTTTTTTTTTTTTTTAAAAAGAAATCACAGTGAAGTTCTCAACATAAAGGTCCCACCAGAAGGCGCCAGATGCTTACTTACCGAGAGCCGTGATGGAGATTGGGGTGCTGGCCCGGCGCTCCCCAACAATCTGCCACTCGCCATCCACGGCACGTACCCACTCGGTCACGTGGCACTCGTACTGGCCCTCATCCTCCTTCCTGCTGTTGAAGATGCCCAGGCTGAAGGAGTTGGGCTGCACCTGCTCCATCTGTACGCCCCCGAAGCTGCTGCGCTCCCAGTAGGACGCCCCCGGCTGCACTGTGCCGTCCCGGTCCAGCCACATGATGTTGCTGCGGCGATTCTGCCTGTCCACCAGCTGCCAGATGACAGAGAAGCGGCCCTGGGGCCGGCCCGCTGTGCGGATGCTGCAGGAGAAGTGCAGGTTCTCGCCCTCAAGGACGACGCTGGCATTGCTGGCCACCTCCACGGAGATGCTGCTCTCTGGGGAGAGGGAGAGAGTGCCATGCTGGGCATCTGGACCTCCCTGGGCCTCCCCGCAGGTGTAAGAGGAGGCGGGCGCACATGTCACTCTGTTCAGGAGCAGTGCACCCCAGAGGGTCACTTGCTGCTGTAAGCCCTGGCTGGTTCAGGGAGCTGCTCCCCATGATTTCAGCTCTGACAACCTAGTGGTATGGGGGGGCTCTGATAACCATGTGCAGGGGGCTGGGGTAGTGAGGGTCTAAGACCTGACACTGAATCAGAACCTGAGAACTACAGCCCAGTGGCATTATGCTTAGGACACCTGTCACCTATTCATTTTATGGAGCAACCTGTTCAGCTGGGATTCAAAGATTTTTGGCGGGTTGAGTATGTCGAAAATTCTGTCCCCTCAGTCTTGCCACAATTCAGTGCTACAGTGGTCAAGTAAAAGCTGAACGTGGTCATGTGCCAGCTGAGTCCTTCCAGGCACTATCAGGAGGTAGGAAAAAATGACTAGAAGTATCTGGAAGATGAAGTGTCTGACTATGGACAATAATGGGACACAGAGGGACCGGTGTCACAGTGTGTGTGGAGCGGCTGTTAACAGAGTGAATAAACCACAGCCGGCGGCTGTTCACCTCCTGTCCACCCCCAGCCCTGGGCTCCCCTGGGCTTCCCCGGGAAACACTGCCCATCAGAACTTGGGGTGAGGACTCCAGTCCCCTCTCTGACTCAGTCGAGGCTTTTTAACTCCCTGAGCTCCATGAACGGACTCCACTGAATTCCTCAAACTCTCCAAGCAGTCTTCGGCAAGACCTGGAGAGTGTTATTTACAGGACATACTTTTCTTAAAGATCAAAAAGTAAACAGGACAATGTATATAAATCAAGTAAATACACAGTAGGCTTTCAAAAACTGGGCTTCCCGAGCACGTGAGTTTTACTATTCTCAATAAGCCTTTGTCTTTATAAACATCATGGATGATTCTAATCTATCTTAATGATGATTATATATGATTTTGTATAATTATCTGTGTGCATTCGCAAAGCCCGTAAGTAGCAAGGAACACAAAATGCCACAACGAATTTAGCTTCAATTTTCTGGGCACCGCCCCCAGGACACACAAGCAACAAATTTAAACCAATTGATTAAACCCCAGATTAAGAGGCACACCCAATGATGGAGGGAAACACAGACGATGGTCATGCACTTGAATCAGTCTTTTCTCCCCTGTATTTCTCCCAGAGGCAGAAACAGGCCAAGATGAGCACTGAGCCCCAGCACGTAGCTCCTGTTACAGTAAGGACACCTGTCACCTATTCATGTGACAAAGTGGCCCAGACGAGGAGGGGCACAGGAATGTTGCCAGGAGGGCCAGTTCCCCAGGACCACTGCAAGGTAATTCATGATTACGATGAGCCACCCTCAAGAGCTCTGCCAGCTACATGCATGTATTTGAAGACAGGCAGCCTGAGAGGGTCCAGGTCTGCTCCTTCCTGCCTCTAAATTTGGGTGCTGCTACTTACCCTACCTACGCTTCCATTTCTCACATGCAAAATGGAGATACTCCTTGGAGTCATGTGATGCTGGGAGTGTTGGGTGAGGTCAGGACTTTTTCCATCATCGTCAGTAGTAACAACACTCCTCTTTACAGACTCCTCCCAGTACTATCAACCCAGAGGGAGGGCCTCAAGCGGCAACTGCAGCATCAAGGGGGAAAGGCTGTGTCTGGCCCTTGCAGGAGGATGACCTGCACAACGTCACTCCCAACCTCACTGTCACCCCAAAGGACCCTGCGTCCGCTAGGCTTGCTTACTGGGAAGCTGTTGTTGGGTGCCCTGTTGCTCAAGCAAGTCTGGAAAAAACGCTCAGTGAGAACATGGAACTAGGAGAAGAAAAGCCGATCTGGCAGCCCAGGCAAAGACCTGGCTGCAGCGCCCATTCAGACTTTTACAAGTGCTCCCAGGCCTGAGAAAAGGCAGCCAACAAATTAGAACTCTCTGGATTAAGTGAAAACTGGGACAGAACTGATGAGAATCTAGCTGAGGACATGTTCACAAATGAAATTCCCAATCAGGAGGTTGATGACGTAGCACAGGCTAAGCGCGGAGCAGTGCATTGGAGCTAGAAGCAAACGTCTCGAATGCGATGCAAGCTCAACCGCTAAGGGACAAAGGCTCTGGCTCTGTCCCGCCTGTGTGGTGCTCTGGAGTCTCCATTCACAGGACGGATATGATATTGTCCTCTACGGAATGCGCGGGGTGGAGCAGAGAGGTAGATGATCTATGCAGAAGCACTTTGGACTCTTGGGAGGAAAAGCGCCATTAAAATCCAAGGTATAATCACCATTACCGATGTGATCATTGTTCTTGGTAGACTTACCCAAGTGGCCTTGGGGCAGGATCTGGTGGTGCTGGGGGACTTTAACTACCCAGTTATCTGCTGGAAAAGCAATATAGCAGGCCACAGATCATCAAACAAGTTCGTGGAAGGGGTCGGGGGAAATCTCTTAGTACAAAATAATACAGGAGGTAAACAGTGTGGCTGCCCTTGACTGGATCCTTACAAAACAACGAGGGATTAGTTGCAGACTTAAAAGTAAAGAGTCCGTGGTTAAGGCAAGCACAGACCGAGAGGAAGACAGTTAGGACAGCGGGCATTCCTTTCAACAATATCAATTCTACAAATATGCAGCAAGCACCTACCCTATGCAAAGCACCATGCTAGGCATTGCAGGGGGAAAGTCTAAGAAACAAAAGAATTTCAGGATAATTAGGTGTGTGTGAGTAATTTATAAAATAATAATAATTAAGCCCTGAGAGTTTCTTGTTGATGAGAAAAGAGAATGGCAAGACCCCTGGACTGTTTTTCTTCACGCTCGGAGAGGACTGGATTAAAAAATGAACAAGAGTAAACACAAATATAAAGGGAATGATTACAAGGCTAAGAGAAAGAATAGCTGGAGCAGTTGAGAAAGGTTAAAGGTTAGTTTAAAACCATCTTGCTTATAAAATCAGGGCATTGTCAGCTTTAGTTGTCTTTTCCACTACAAACAGAGCTAGGAGAGAAACAAGCTATTAATGAACATCCTGGGCAAAGGAGGATTAAATACAGCATGAACAAGCAGGGTCCCCGGGGCCCCCCAGCTGACCGTCCGCTGCCCAGACCATGCCAGCTCAGAGGCCAGGAGTCCCTCTAAGCAGCCTCGGAAATCAGCTCAGCTTTAGGCCTGTGCTCCAGGAAGGCGACCCACCCTCTGACTTTGGAACACCCAATTGCAGCTGGGAAGAGACAATCAGGGAAATGCCAACTTCTCTACCCCTAATGCCCAGGCAGCGACTCCTCCTTAATAATGTACTTTATGATATAAAATTGCTCCGTGAAAGACCAACTCTCTGAAGGGAGCTTTCAAGGTCAGCATCGACCCCTCCTCCTGATTTCCACCCAGAGGTCAACAATGTCAGGGATTCCTGGTTTCCTGCCAAGCCGAGGGGCCCTGCATGCAGCTACACATGCCTCTCCGCACCCTGACGCTGTGTCTGCGGGGTTGCTCGGTGTGGGCAGGCAAGCAGCAGAGGAGCATGAGCCAGCTCTGGTGAACCCCAAGTTCCACTGTCCTGCCCCCACACCCTTCCACCGTAGCTCCTCTCCTCTTGCCTCACCTCTCCTAGCTGACACTGGCTACTGAACCAGGCCTGGGGTGGGGCGGGGGAAGTAGAGTGGCAGGTGTTTCACTTACTGATGGGGAGGACAATGATGGGGATGTTCTTGGGGCGCTTGCTCTCCTTGTCGAGGAACTCCCCAGTGACGGTCTTCTCCCTCTCGGTCACCCGGCAATTGTACTTCCCACTGTCTTCCTGGCGGAGGTGGTAGATCTTCAGCACGAAGACGCCGTCGCCCTCTTTGGCCACTTTGAGCTGGCCCCGGGCCTCCCGATGGGTGAACTCGCTGTTGAGGACGGGCACGGCGTTGGGCCCCATGCTGGCAATGAGCGAGCTGTTGAAGGCCCAGGAGACGGCAAAGTAGCGGTCGGGGATGTTCTGAGCCTCCAGGATGCACCTGAACTCCGCCGGCTCCCCCACCGTGTACAGCCGCTTCTCCGTTTCCAGCCGGACGGCGAACTCTTTGTCTGAGAAGACAGACGGCGCCATGGATCATTCTTGGCATTGAAGGCGTCAGTTATCCCAACTGCATCCAGCGAATTCCCTCCCCCACCTGTGCCCTTCTTGACGATGCTCGTTACCTGCCTGAAGATGCAGGCATCTGAGGCCCAAGGGGAACTGTTGACTCTCAGAGAGACTCGAGGTCGCTACCCCCAGACAGTCTAAGGCATCCCCATCTGTATCCCAGTCCTACACACAGGGCTCTATCATGCCCCAGGTCACAACCCCGGGGTCAGAACAGAACTTATTTATATAAGTGACCGAGATGTCCAGGGTTAGCCTTGACATACATGCACCCAGAATTCCATCCGAGCAACAGGATCCCAGATTTTTTCAGCAGATAATGCAGGACTTACCCCACTGAGCTGTGGGAGACAAACTTTCAGACTGGCCTAGGTGCTGACCCCGACCCTAGTAAATGCCCCAAAACTAAACTGAAGTATGTATCCACCTCCATGCCATGGCTGGGATACAAGCCACAGGGAAGACAATGCCTAAGAGCATTACGTGGGACGAGGGTCTTCTCTCTGGTCTGCCACCTGTCAGCTCAAATCTCTAGAAAGCTGGAATGTGAAGGTGTCTAATCCCGCTGAAAGCCCGAAGAACAGGGTGGTCAAACGGGCATGAAAGGGTGATCCAAGGGGATCAGAGGGGCTCGTGGCCAGCGAGGGCGCCTGGCCCCATATGGGCCCAGGGAACAGCGCGTGCTGCCTGTAAGGTCCACGGATCTGATCTCTCACAGACGCACAGTAGAAGACAAAGTTAAGGACTGCAGGAAACTCTCTGCCCCAGAAAACAGGGCCACCGAACCTGTCCATGGAACTGCTGCCCAAGTCCCTCCTCCTCCTGGTTCCAGCTCCTCTAAGACGACCAGAGAAAAGGCCCCTCTTCTGAATTCCTGGGAGATTCGTCAGCTGTACCCCCACCCAGTGCCTCCCTGCGCTGGCATTTCCATACCTTCCCCACTATCCGTGAGGCTCCTGTCCCACCCCATCCCCTGACCCAAGCACTCTGCGAGCCTGAGATTCCTGCTTCCCTGAGAAAACAGCACTCATGGGTGTGTGTCTTCCATGCTCCTCTACTCCATCCAAGCTCGGCTTCGAGCCCGCCTGTCCGTCAAGCTCTCTGCTCCTCCTCTCCCACTGGGCCAGAGTCGTGACCAAATGCCCGTTTTTCTCCACAGGATTAGCTCCTTCCTCTACTACCCCACATCCCAACAAAGCTACACTAACACCGCCAATGTGACAGCCACTGCCTCAGTCTCCTCCCAAAAGACCATCCTAAGAGACAGGGCTTGAAACAAACAGGCTTTCCTCTGCCCAGGTGAGCAGGCCCACGGGGGACAGTGCCCGCGTCATGTGCAGGATAGGAGGGCTCGAGTCACCCAACCACAGTAATGAATGACTCAACAGAGATGATAACAAAGCTCTCCCTCCACGTAGACGGCTCCGAGGATGCACAGGCAGGGGCCTGGACCTCAGACCTCTCATCCCCTCAGGGGTAAGCAGGTGGCAACTGTGGCTTTCTCCTTTTGGCAGTCAAAGATTCTTATTTCTTGTTTCATGGACCCCCTCCTTCCCCTTAACCATCACGGCGCAGGCAGGCCTTCACTTCCCAGGCTGAAGACACAAGATTTACAGCGAACCATCAAATTGCAAAGCAATATGCCCTTGGTTATGCCCAGTCAATTAAACCTGTAGGAACTGATTTATGCTTTTCCCAAACCCCCCTCCAAAGCTCACTGAAAAGTGGCTTCTGGCCCTTCTCCCACACTTCACTGACCTAGCAAATGTCACCCACGGCCCCCCCCACAACCCAAGGCTCTCTCAAGTGGGTTTCCCCCGAGTCCCACACGTTCCCCGCCTGACCACTCTGTGTCTCTATCACCAGCCCCCACGCTTCTTATCCCCTCGTTCTGCTGCTATCTCCTGCTCCTTTCCCATCTTTACTCCATGGGTTTTTCCTGGGCCTTCCCAAGCTCGGCCTCTCACCGAGCTCCGAGACTGAGGACATGCTGAGTGGTTCGCCTACTGAGTCTCTGGAAGAGTCTGCTTGCCGGAGGGACGCTCCACCAAAATGGACAAACAAAACAGACCAGACAGCCAGAGCTGCCCAGGGGGAGCAGACTGCCCAGCATCCCCTCCTGACCACAGCTGATACACACTAAGGTCCTAAGGCCTATTTCTGGGCACAAACAACATTACCAACCTTCTAAATACACACCCCAAACCCTTCTAATATGAAACAATATGTGTGTTCATTCATTCATTCATTCATTCATTCCCTGACTTGCTTATTCCACTTCAGGGAGGCAGGGGCAGGAGCCAGCCCCGGACAAGAAGCAGTTCTGTCCCAGTGCGCCCCACACTCCCACTGGGATAACTGAGTCCACCCATGAACCTACTATATGCACACCTCACTGAGGGCTGTGGGAGGACACCGGGGAAGCCAGAAAACCCGGAGAAGCCCACACCTCAGGGGCAGGCCCACACAGACAGCAGCCCTGACAGGCAGCAGCACTTCTCACCGACGTTCTAACAGGAAATTTGGAATGAAAGCTCCTTCAAGGCCCTGTTGGATTCAGTGGTCGCCAGCGGGGTCTGCCCACGCCCCCAGTGTCCCGCCCCACCAGGGGAGAATGGGGACAAGAGAGACTGACCAGTGGGCTGGACGCTGACCACGGTGCCCTCGGAACGCTTCTGGGTCATGGCATACCACGAGCCGTCCGGGTCCTGGATCCACTCGGCAGCCTCGCAGTAGAACTCGCCCTGGTCGGAGGGCTGCAGGTGGAAGATGGTGAGGCGGAAGGTGGTGGCGCCCAGCTTATCCAGCCGCACCTCCCCCAGGCTCTGCCGCTGCGCGTATTCGCTGCTGGAGTGGAGCACGAAGTCCCGGCTCAGGGAGATGACCTCCACCGGCTTCTCGCTGCCCTTCTGCCGGAGCCAGGCCACAGACAGGTGGCTGTGCTGGGCGGTGTCCACGGCCACCTCGCAGGTGAGCGCCAGCGGGTCCTGCTCCACTTTGTGCAGAGTCTGGGGCACAGCGGTGGTCTGCAGGGAGTCGGGGATCACTGCAACACAGAAGCATCTGAGCATCACACAACACGGTCACAGCACCTCCCTGGAGCTCCCACCCCGGGGAGCCCCCCCACGGTCGCCCTGAAGCCACAGGTTCCCCAAATAGCACAGAAACAGAAGGCGTTTGTTTGGCTCTGGCACCCACACTTGCTGGTTTGGTATTTAAGTAACACTCAGATCAAAGGGGGTAGATTTCATTTTACACAATAAATAAACTTCCTGAAAACACCAGGTAAGTAGGAATTGAGTTTCTGGTCAAATAAGATCTTGTCTGTTTGGGTTTTGCTTCAAGAGACTTGAACTTCACTTCTGACTGATCGTCAAACAAAAAGTAGTTCCTAGAACTCTGAGTTTTAGTTTCTACACAACCCACTCTCCTCCCTGCTTCCAGCCACGGCTCCTGCCTCCCCAGCGCACGTCGGCAATGTGCTGCTCTAGGGAGGCTATTTTGGGGAAAAAAAGATTTGGGTAGAGAAAATCATCATTCTCAATTTTTAAACAGGCTGAATTTTCCTATAAGTCAAGTGTCCCGGGGTCCACGCTGGAAGTCACGGGATGAGGATGATTCAGGCCAATGGAGAGATGTCCCCTGGGGTCCTCAGTCAGGAGCTGACGGTGGAGACAGAACACCACTGGCCACTCTGAAGGACAGGGCACGTGTGTCCTCACTGCACGTGCCTGAGGACGGGTCTTAAGGGCTCAGGTTGGGTTGCAGACTTGTCATAAAAAGAAAAAGGAGTTGGAGCTGGGGCGAGGCCACGCTGGGCCATAGTGTTCGCCGTGTGAAGGGCCGAAAGCACCGAGGCTGTTCTGCTCTTCTGCTCCTCTCAGTTGTGGCGACAGAAACAGGAAATTAAGACTCGGGTTGGAAAAACAGAACAGCCGCGATGCTTTCGACCCTTCACACCAGCAAACGTGATGGCCCAGCGTGTCCACACTGAAACCTCTCCTCTCCTGCAGCTTCCCCGCCCTTCCAGGAGCGCCTGGGCCGGGAGACGGTGCCTGCAGGCTTCCTCCTCACGGGCCAAGGACCCAGGAACCCCCCGGCCCCCGGTCCGGGTCTCAGTGAGGACCTGCAGCTGGGCCGGCTTCCCATGCAACAGCTCTTGGGAGGCACGGCTCCCTACAGAGGCCCACTGAGTCCTCAACTCCCCAGGCCTCTCCTGCCGCTGCTGTCAGACGCCTCACCTGCCTGTAGCCTGTCCTTTCTTCAGATCAGGAGAGGGTGCCTTGTATTATTTTCATATGCCCGTCAACCACCCACGGGGGCTCCTTAAACTTTTTTGAAATTCTTAACACCTGCATTAGCTCTGAAGCCTCAACCTTCACTTTGCAAACCTGGCTCACTTACGCCCCTGTTGACCTCTAGCATATTTGACGAGGTAGTCTTTTTTTGAGTCAAAGTTGCATTTGGAGGTGGGACCCTTGGGAGGTGATTAGACCCTGGGGTGGAGCTTTCATAAATGTGGTTTGTGCCCTTATAAAAGGGACCCCAGAAAGCCCTTCTGTCCACTTTCTATCACATGAGGACACAGGAGCCGTCGGCAGCCCACAGCATGGACGGGCCCTCACCAGAGCCAACCCCGCCCTAGGCTTGGATCTCCAGCCTCCAGAACCACAGGCAATGAACACCTGCAAGACACCGGGTCTGTGGCCACCTGTCACGGCGGCCTCAGGAACACGACGCCCAGCAGGACGCGGCCAGGCGAGCGCAGCATCTCCTTACCCACTAGGTTCATCTTGGCGCTGTAACTCCCAAAGTACCGCTCGTCGGTGTTGGGGGTGTGGCACTCATACTCGCCGGCGTCCCGGGCCTGCAGGTCAGTGATGTGCAGCAAGGCCGAGTTGCCCTGTACTCTCTCCACATAGATCTTCCCCCCACGCACGCGCTGGGTGTAGATGGCGTAAGGGAAGGAGGAGTCCATGGTGCTCACGATCTGTACCTCCCGCTCCGGGGAGGAGGGCAGGTAGATGGACCACTGGAAGTTCTGCTCAGCCGGGCCCTGGTAGCCGCTCACGTTGCACCAGATGGTGATGTGGGAGCCCTCCGTGCGGTACAGGGGCCCCTCCTGGACGGCGACCTGGCGCTGCGCTGACACCGCACCTGCAGGGGGACACACAGGTCATGTACTCCGCAGACCACATGCAAGGCAGACGGCAAGCTGCAGAGGGTGTGTTATCAGGGGGACAAGAAAGACACTAATAGAAATAGTTTCCTGGCCCTTTCTGAGGGGCTCTGTGATTTATAAATATTAATTAAAACACTCTCTGGAAAAGTGCTGTCCTGAATTTGCATAGATGGGAATTTGAACCATGCAAGGATGAGGTTCTGTGACTGATTCAACAGTGACCCCTGAGAATTTCATTTAGTCCCTGTTTGTCATTTATGCGGCAGTTTTCTATCTATTTATTAATGCTGTTTATAAAGTTTTTAATAAAATGAGCAGGAAAAGTTGAATCCTTGGCACAAATTCAGATGAAAACAGATAAAGCAACCATCCTGCAAGATGGTTGAAATTAAATGCTCCTTTGGTGACTAGAGGGCTGGCAAGGGGGAGTCCTGGGCCCTTTCTTGGGGGCTGCACCCTCTATTTTCATACAGCTACTCCCGGGACACCACGAGGAGGAGCGTTCCTTACTTCTTCTCTCCATAAAAGGAGAGAGAGCTGCTGCAGGCTGCAGGCTGCTGCTGGCTTAAGCTGAGTACACATAAATATGAATGTGAAGGGCTGAAGAGGACCCTGTGCCCGGATGCCCACACTCGGACAGTGGGGACTGCCGGTGCAGGGGTCAGGCCCCCGAGGCCACCTCTGAGTCAGCCACCGGCCCCTGCCCTCTGGCTGGACCTGCTTCTCCAGGGGCCCCTCCGGCCGCCTGCTCCATGGTGTCTGTAGCATAATTGTAGGGTAAGGAAAAAGTATCAGGCTTTTCTGCCCTCCCGCCATTAGGACAGATGAGGGAACCCTGTGGTCCTGAATGCATGCCTGATGGCAGGTACCTGGAGTGGGTGCACCTGGGCTGAGAGACTGAGTTTATAAGGGCGACTAAGGGCGGTGTCATGGGGATGCCAGCAGAAGCCGAGAGAAGAGAAGCAGAGAGAGCCCAGATAGAGTGAGGATTTGCTGGGGGCTGGGAGGACTGCCAGCCTCCCCGCCCCCCAGCACCCCTGCCTGCCATGTGCCTAAATAAAATAAAATCTAAATAAAAGACCTGCAAAAGCCACTGAGGACTCTGACTCCTCCTTTACCTGGTCTGCTGGATCAGAAAACCTGCTCAGTGTCCAGTCCTGCCCCTACAATAATCTTTCCTTGCAGACTCAGTGGGGAAATATGGTGACCTCTCATTTCTAGCAAGCACACCGCTGACTGTGCTGAGAGGGTGGAGGGCAGTCCCTCTGGCCTCCCCCCTGCGCAGGTGGCATGCAGTGGAAGGGAGAGAAGGTGACCCCGAATTGTGCTTTCTCAGGAACTGGAACTGGTTGTGCTCTCTTGAACAAACTGTTTTTGTTTCTGGACCTTGAGCTCTTCATCTAGAAAATGATTTCTAAGAAGGCTCTGGAGTGGACTAGCATGAGTGCCAGAGCTGGCTGTGTCACTGATGAGCTGTGGCCCTGGGTAAGTTACTGAGCCTCAGTTTCCAACTATTCTAAAGATAGGGCCAACTATTCTAAAGATATTTCTAACTATTCTAAAGATAAAACATGCCTCGCATGCTGAAGAAGTAACATCGATAAAGCCCCCAGCATAGGGCCGAGCTCACAATCAGTCCCTAATAAGGACAGCTGCTGGCTGGCTCTGCATCCACAAAGGACAGGGTCTTGCCGGGATCACTCAAGGATACTCCAATGGCCTCTGGACAGTGACACCATCTCTGGGCCTCTCACCTCCACCCACAGCTGCAGCCCATCCTACTCCTATGAAAGCTCCCTCTTTCCTCCTCCAAACAGGAATCACAGCTGCCCCATGTAGGCCTATCTGAAGTGGATCCAGCTGGGGAACAGCCGGAATGGCTCAAATACTAATGGCTGCAGCTCTAAGCCCAGCCCAGAGGGGTAGGCTCTGGGCCACAGCAGAGCTGATCTAATCGGCAAAATGACAGACTTTAAAACAGAACCTATAAGGAAAAACCTGTGGCTGATAAATTTATTTGTGCAGAACCTTTTCGCTCAAATTCTACCCTGGAATCCCATTTTGGCTTCAGCAGATGCAGGGGGACTGCAAAAATAAGGAAGGGACAAGGTAAATCAAAAGATCAAAGTGGTGTATGAACAGATACTTTCTGGCTGATAGCATTCTTTACTGTGTTAAAAGTCACGAAGAAGACAGCTCATTGGTTATTTTCAGTGTGTAAGAATTTGGTATATACTCTTTTTATGACAACTTAAAATAATAGGCATAGTGATATCTGAATCGAATGTTTGTAGTACTAGAAGGCAGAGCACTTCAAAAACAACTTAACTACACTCTGACACTTAGACCTCCCTGCAATCAGGGCTCGATGAGAAACACTCACAACTACTCCCCACCCTCTGCAAAGAAGGCTGCGGGCAGGCAGGGCCAGCCAGCTCTTTAGGGCAGGACTGACTTCACAACCGGGGACCCCTGGAACCACCTGGGGCGCTTTAACACTTGGCAGGGCTGGGATTCCAACTGTGTAAGGTGCCTCTACCTGTGAAGTAGCAACCAGCGGATGCACACATTCAAGAACACATCCTAGTTTAAGGCACTAGTAGCTCTACGTCCCTCCCTTCTGCAAAGGCTCTGTGGATTTGGGTCAAGAACATTTCATTCTTCTCCAGTGAATGGGCAGAAGAAGGCAGCTGAGGCCCATCAGATAGTGGCTATTGTGATGCAATAATGAGCTTACCCAGACTGCTTTCTATTTGCAGACCTCACAAAGGCACTTGATCATCAGATCAGGCACACATTTCTCCTGAATGGTAAACAGTGTTAAGTGGCCCACATGAGCCAGGGCATCAGGGTTAAAACAACTTGTCCAGGCAGGAAGCAGGTTATAAACAGCCTGAACAAATAAATAAATACTGGATTGTACTTTAACCGCACACATTCAGCTGCACCTGTTTATTAAATATCTCCTTAATTCCCTTCCCGCCCACAAAGGACCTTTGGCCTCTGCAAATGATGCTGCTTTGAAGAAGTGGATCTTAACACAGAAAATGAAATTAACTTTTTCTTCTCAAAAAGCTGTGTTTCCCTCCACACCCGCTCTCCCCACTTCCTCCTGGTGGCACTGCCAGGCTGTGCAGCTCTTTCTCCCAGACATAGTGACCCAGGCGCACCCTGAACAAGGCTTCCCCTGACACCTCTGGCCGGTCATCTTCCCTCACAACCCACAACAGCAGATTCTTCCAGGGCTGTGATCGCTTTATTGCGAAATAACTTTTTTTAATTCTAGGCATTCCTGTACTCTTTGAATTACTCTGCAATAAGCAAATATCACTTCTGTGATTGCAAAGGGAAAGGTCAAAGTCCTATAGATAAAAGTCCTAGACACATAAGGCAGGAATCGAAGGCAAGAGGAGGAACGCAGAGGGTGACAAACACACACCCCTCTGAGTAGGGTAGATAGTAAGCTGACTGTATCAGTAGTGACTGTGCCAAGACTCGAGACTGAGACAATGGTCTCAAGGCATCAATTAAAGAACAGATTGTCAGAATGGATCAAAAAACATAACCCAACTATAGCTTGTCTACAGGAAACCCAGTTTAAAGTAAGCAGATGAAAAAATATACATCATGCTAACACTAATTAAAAGAATGTCTATACATGTTTAATAAATACAATCAATATTTGCAAAAACACCTGATAAATGAGAGTTGCCCAAAAAAGAAAGGACCAGGATAAGATTGTGGGTCTCTGGTGAATTCTATCAAAAAGTTAGAGAAGAAATTATACCAATTCTCTACAGTCTCTTTCAGAGAATAAGGCAGAGGAAATACTTACTTCTAACTCATTACATGAAGGCAATATGCCCTAATAGCAAAACAATACAAAGATATTACAAGAAAACTACAAACTAGTATTTCTCATAAACACAGATGCAAAAATCCTCAATAAAATATTAACAAATCAAATGCAAAATGTATATATCATAATCAAGTAGATTTGACCCAGGTACATATGTAAGGCTGGTTCCATATTAAAAAAAAAAAATCAATATAATCCAGCACAGATTAAAAAAGAAAAAACACATTATCATATCAATAGATACAGAAAAAGTATCTGACAAAACCCAACACCCATTCATGATACAAACAAAATTTCAGTAAACTTAGAAAGGAACATTTCTCAACTTGATAAAGATTCACCAGAGAAAACTTGTGGCTAACATCATATTTAATGGTTAGAAACTCAAATGTTTCCCACTAAGATTAGGTACAAAGCAAGGATGTCCCCCCTCATTACTTCTCTTTGACATCATACTAGAAATTCTTGCTAATGCAATGAGCAAGAAAAAGAAATCTTGGGAAGGAAAAAATAAAACTGTCTTCGATTACAGATTTATGATACATTATTCTCTGTGCAAAAAATCTGAAAGAACAGACCAAAAACCTCCTGGAACTAATAAGGAATTTAAAGTAAGATTGTTGGGTACAAGATTAATACACAAAAGTCAATTACTTTCTAACATACCAGTAGTAAAAGAAAATGAAACTTGAAATTAAAAACATAATACCACTGACATTAGCACCCACAAAAGTGAAATAGGTTCAAATCTAATTAAATAGACAAAATCTACATAAGAAAAACTACAAAACTCTGATACACAAAATCAGAGAAGAAATAAATGGGGAGATGATGCATTCATGGGATAGGAAGATATAAGTCTTAATATTGGCAGGATCTAAGTTCTTCTCAATTTGATCTACAGATTCAAGGCAATCCCAATCAAAATTCTGGGAAGTTATTTTATGCATATTGAAAAAAGCTTATATAGGGGGACAGAGGACCCATAGAGCCCCCACATTATCACAGAGGCCTGAAGCTTTCCTGACTTCAAAACTCACTAAAGTCATAGTAATCACAATGGTGGCCAAAACACAGACTAATAGATCATTGATACAGAATGGAGCACTCAGAAAT